GAGAGCCCCCTGCCCTGCTCCACGCAGGTGTGTTTGCCAATTGTCAACATCATGTGTTTATCTGTCATCTAGGAATCTGTAGAAAGTCCTCCCAGAGAAGCTTTTTGTTGGCAATGTACTGAGCTGGACTCAGGGTTCCACTTGTCGGGGAAGGAGGTGGACCCCCCACTCAGTCTCTGCCCTTCCCCACCTGCCAGGGTACCTAGCTGACCACTCCTCCCAGACCCATGGAGGCCTTTGGATGGGAAGTGGACTGAAGAAACCCTTTCTGCTAAGGTCAAACCAAATTTGGTTTTGTGATAAGTAGTCTCTGACCTGTTACCCTCACTTTTCAGTGTGTAAATGTAGTGTGGCCCGAGGGCATGACATTGTGGCGGACAGGTGCTGCCTCCCTGTGTTATAATGTCTGTGTGCGGTGTGTTCATACACATCAGACCTCTGCATCGCTCTCTTGGCAGGGACTGCGGTGGGTGTTGGTCCTTGAGGAAGAACATAGGAAGAGTGCAGGTGCTCAGAGCACCTCCCCTCCCGTGGTCTTTCTTCCTGCTGGGTCACAATGTCTCTTCCTCGACTGGCAGATGAAGGTCAAGTTCTCATCTTTTACAATTCTACTTTTTAAAAAATAATTGAAACACAATTGATCATACATGTCTGTGGAGTACAGAGCTGAATATCAATACCTGTGTACGATATGTGGTGATCAAATCAGGATAATTAGCATATTCATCATTACAAAACATAAGCATTCTTTGTGTCCATTAACCAATTTCTCATCAGCCTCCTCTCTACAGTTCTGCTTATAATTGTCAGCTCATAAAATGAGAAAAAGGGGGAGAAAAGTGGGGTCTCCAGTGAGTTTGACTGGAGCGTCCCAGGCAAGGGGATGCTGCAGAGTTGTCAGCCATAGAAGATGAGCATCACAAGAAATCTTAGATCAGAAACCATCCCAACCTCCATCTGATTTGAATCTGATGACGAAAGGGAAAATATAAAATCGTTACTAAAACATAAATGTCTCTCTTTTTGCTTCTTATACATATCTGTCCGTCAAATGGTTACCAGAAAATAGCCTCTGAAGTGCCCCATGGAGAGTTTCTTTGTTGGCTCCTGGGATGGGTGTGCTGAGGCCAGAGCAGGATCAGTGGTTGGGTGGTTTCTGTTGCCGACAAACATGGCTCTGCTAAGATACTGTAAACGTGATTACTAGCTGTCAGGTTCTGTTATTTGGACAGTCAGCTTGTGTAGCAGATGGCTCCACTGACTGACTACCAGAGGTTTCCTTTAAATAAGGCTTACCAGCTCTAGTAGGGCTTGTGAAATAATATTGTCATGGAGGATGTTTAATGGCTCAGGACAGAGGAGTCATGGGAGAGTGGCCAGAGGATCTCATAACTTGGAACTGGGGGAGCAAAGCCAGCTGCTGAGGGTGGTGACTAGGAGGTGGGTAGGGCCTCCCTTTCCTGGGCCACCTCTGCAGTCTTTCTCTCCCAGGCAGTAGGAGTCTCAGCACCCTGAGGCATGGCCTGGCTGCTGTTTGGTTTTGATGTAGCAGTGAGATCAACTATGTGACTTTTTTTTTTAAAGCCAAAATGGTGATATACTCTAAGGCATGGAAAAATTCAAGAAATGGTGGTCTGGGGGGGATCAGTTTAAAAAATCCACAGGAAAATAATGCCACTTGAACATATGTGGTATTATGATTTATTTTCTTTTTTAAAAAGGCAGGTCTGGCTTTGTGAGAGGGGATTTAGATTGTGGAGTGACAGGTTCTGGAGCATGTGTCTTCTTTGCGTTGGGAGAGCCTATGTCTCCAGGGCTGTGGGGAGAGGCAGTGCTCTGGGACTTGGTTTTTCAACCAGACAGGCCTGACATGGAATCATTATGAAAGGTGTGGAAAATAAGCTCTTCCTTGTGAGGCAGAAAGCGCTGAAAGATAGTGAACACACTGGCTGTGGCTGAAAGAGGTTCCCTGGGAGATTTGGTGTCATCTAAGGTAGATCAAATGGATTCTTCTACTCTGCAGCCTGCATCCTTGTATGGCAAAGCACAAAACCTGGGGTGGATTCTCGACAAGGGTACAGTAGTTGGGAGAAGGGAACAGTCCAGTATTTGAGCCGTAAAGGAAATGCTATTTTATTTATTTTTTACTTTGAACTCTGTGATTGCCTCACATAACAAGCAAGATATATTTACATATCTTAATTACAGACTTTCGTATTAAAGTTTATCTCAATATTTGAAAGTTGCTGTGGTCTCAACTAGTGAGACTGGACACCTGGCTAAGTTAGGAGCCCTGGGTTCTGGTCCCACCAGTGCCCCTAGCAAAAATCTCTTTCTCCACTTTGCTGAGTTTCAGGTTCTCAACTTACAGGCCTAGGTGACCTTTAAATCTATAAGGGCTACTGCTGTAAAATTTTAGACTTTTGCCAATTCTTAGGGTGCTCATTCATTAGACAAAATGCTGGGCACTGTGGCAGTCTCTGGGATTGTCACCAATGCTTTCATCTCCCTTACAGTCTTTTTATGGTAAAATCACTTAGACTTAGTGTTTTTCATGAGTTTGTGAATTCTTTTAGGACAGAGACCCTGCCTTGTCACTGTGTGGTGTTGCAGGAGGTACTCAATATACATTCGATGAATAAATGAACCAGTAGAAAAATGAACAAGTGAAAATTTGCTTGGAGTGCCCTCTGATAATGTCCAGATATCATTTCCATTTGATTAGTGTCAAGTTCAGTAGTATTCACACACTTGCTGTTCTTTGTCAACAAAGTAGAGTGCCGATGCTTACTAAGACAAAAGAAAAGACAGCGCAGCAAAATAATGGGTGATACGGCTGTGTCCCCCAAGTTTCATGTATTAGTAGCTCGACCCCCACTGTGGGGTCGAGGGTGGGAAATCCTATTATGGTAATTGAGGCGATGCCTTGAAGAGTTGATTAGATTCTGAGGACCATGCCTAGTGGATGGATAAAAAATGGTAGCCATGGGCGTGGATCTGAGGGCTTTAAAAGGAGAGCAGCGAGACTCTCTCTGCTCTGCCATTTCTTGCCATGTGAGACCGCTGGGTCACAGTTGCCACCACAAGGACTCTCACCAGATGTGTTCCCTGGACTTTGGACTCCACAGCCTCAGAAACTATAAGCAATAAATTTCATTTTCTTACAAAGTACCCAGTTCCAGGTATTTTGTTATCAGCAACAGAAATGGACTAATACAGCAGGCACAGGCAGTGTGACCCTGAGTCCCCAAATTCCACTCTCATCTATGAGCCATGTAGCCTTGGGGAAAGTGCCCACCCTTTCTGAGCCTCTGCATCCCCCTAACCCGATGGGCTCTAGAAATGTCTTTCTCATGGATGATTCCTGCTTGGCTCTCCTTCCAGAAGGTGGTGGTTCTTGAATCTTATCAAAGAGGGCTTCTTTATTGTAACTCAAAAGGTGAGATGGATCTGTCTGGGGGCCCCACCTTTCAGTGAGGATATACCAGAGGAACCACTTCCAGAGCCCTTGAGTTCAAGGAGCAGGTGCAGTGAGCTTGTGACCCTGTGATGGTGGCAATCATGTGGTGGAGGCTACTGAGGCTGGTCAAATGAGTTTTGAAGTATCTTTTAAGAAAACAAAACGAAACCCCTAGCATTCTTTCTAGTTTTTAAAATTAAATCTGAATATTCAATTTTACTCTGAGGTAAGATGCATATTTCCTAGTCTATAAGCACCTTTAAAAGAGACCTTACCTGATTCATGTTTATGTCACTTTAGTGCCATGAACACAACAGTTACTCCATAACATTTGTTAAAAGATTAAAGAAGGAAAAACTGGCATTTGGCTATGTCTGCCTGCAAACAGTCAACGAACCCCAAAGTACTTTACCTACAAATGGCCTCCAGCAATCTCCAGCATTTCCAGGTCTAGAGAAGGGTTTGATTAGTGGAGAGTGTATTTATTATTTTTTCCTTCTGAAACTCTTAAACAAGCAAACTCTGAAATAATACAGCAATGTTCAGTGCAGCATGAAGAACTGATAAACTGATAACTCTCATATAAATATTGTGCTGCATCAGATAATATCCAGGAGCTAAGCCCATCAGAGCCAAGAGTTAGCAAGTGGTGGAATTGGATGGAAGAAAAATTCAACTGTAAATATTAATGAATATTTAGTACAGAATGCCGGGCACATAGTATTTTAACCAATTTAGTCCTCATAAGAATGCTCACATTTGAGGTGCCGTATCTTCATCCCCATTTTACAGGTGGAAAAACTGAGGTGGCTGGTTAGTGGACAAGCCTGGCTTGGACAGGCAAGTCTTTCTTCCTGTTCTTAACTGCAGTACTTTCTTGCCTATTGTCATGGATAGCAAGTGCTTATCTGTAAGGAACCTTTCCCCACACCTTGGGAAGATACCCTAAAAAAATTATTTTTAGCAGACAAGCGGATGGTTCTTCACTGGGAGGGCTGTGGTGTGAACAGCACCTGCACCTCATCTGGGGGGATCTGTGGTCTTGTGCCTTCTTTGTTTTTTCCTGGAAGCACCCTAGTTCCTATGTGAAGTTGGGGGTGGGGTGGGTAAGAGGTACCAAAGACACCTTGTTATAAAAACGAGTCATTTACTTGAGTGGCATCTTCTTCAATGCTGCGTGTTTAGGAGAGCTGCCCCTTGTTTGTTTTTTGCAGGCCGAGCCCCGGAGCGTGTGTGTTAAGTTCAGGGTGCACGCGGCGCTCCGGTCCGCGCGGCGGCTATCCACCCCGGTGCTCAGCAAGAACGACGCGCTCTCGGACCTGGAGCGCTGGGAGCGCAGCAAGAGCAAGAACCGCACGCTGGACAACAGCGACCTGCAGCGGTTGGAGCGCGCGCGGGCCGCGGCCTCCGAACACCGGCTGCTGCGCTTCTTCAGCGGCATCTTCGCGCGCAGGGACGGAGCGCCCTCCCCGCGGAGCGGCCCCTCGCGGCCGCGTGGCTACTTCAGCAGCCTGCGGCGGGCTCCGGCCGACACGCACTCGTCCAGCGCCGAGAGCATCGACGGGTCCCCGCGCAGAGGTGGGCAGCGCGGCCGGTGGGCCCCGGGGCGGGGAGGGCCGTGGTGGGGACTGGCCCGGCCCCGCAGCGGCCTGCTCAGCAGAGCACGCCAGGGCTTGGTGGCCGCTCGGGAGCCAAGTCACAAGCCCGCAAGTGGCCACGCCGGAGGTGACCTCTCGGACGGCCCGTTTCCTCCCCAATGCTTCAGCAGTCTGCAAGGTCCTGACTGCACCTGCTCCTTGCTGTGTGTGGTGGTGCTTTCCGGGGTTTGTCACCTCAGCCGTGGCGAGCTTGACTGGGGAGGGATCACCCTGCCAAGCGGTGCCTTTCTCCCGCAGGCGCTGGCTGGGCCTTCTCCAGCTGCAGGCCGGGCGCTCGCTGCTGCGTGCCTGCTGGCCGCGATACCTGTCGGGCTGCTCTTGGGAGCCCGGACTTGGCCCTGAGAGCTGCCGCACAGGTGCAGCTGCCTGGCCAGGAGAAGCCAGCCCTCATCTTGGCTTGTTACCCTCTCTCCCCCGCAGTCTGGTCTCCTTGTTGATGGCCTGTGGGTGAGTTCTGTGGTGGGGCCTCAGCTGACTGGGCCACTCTCACCTGTTGAGCTCCTGGTGGGAGACAGTTCACTACACGGTGCCGAGGGCAGGGGCGTGGCCCCTCTCTCTCCACAGCTTCCCTGCCCGGTGGTGTCTTGCTAGGGAAAGCAACTCTGGGACAGGATTCTGTTTCCTGGTAATACATGCTGGCGAACAGGCAGGAAAAACACAGCTCTGCAGCCTGTTCTGAAATCCCAGTTCTCTGTTCTCTTATTGCCTTCAGACAGGGACCTTGCATTGCAGGGAAGGTTCCTGAGGCAGATATGACAATATTCTCCTGCAGTAATCAGTTAATCTTTTGGTAGCATTTGGGGGTCAGCAGCCTCTAGAACATGAAACACAGACCCCATCTCTAAATGGGGTCTGAAAGAAAAGGCTGGGGTGGTGGGAGGGGCCAGATTGTTACACCCTGCTCCTGGGAGAGAGGGGCTGTGTGCCCAGAAGTACTGTAGCCACAGATGACCTCTCGGACGGCCCGTTTCCTCCCCAATGCTTCAGCAGTCTGCAAGGTCCTGACTGCACCTGCTCCTTGCTGTGTGTGGTGGTGCTTTCCGGGGTTTGTCACCTCAGCCGTGGCGAGCTTGACTGGGGAGGGATCACCCTGCCAAGCGGTGCCTTTCTCCCGCAGGCGCTGGCTGGGCCTTCTCCAGCTGCAGGCCGGGCGCTCGCTGCTGCGTGCCTGCTGGCCGCGATACCTGTCGGGCTGCTCTTGGGAGCCCGGACTTGGCCCTGAGAGCTGCCGCACAGGTGCAGCTGCCTGGCCAGGAGAAGCCAGCCCTCATCTTGGCTTGTTACCCTCTCTCCCCCGCAGTCTGGTCTCCTTGTTGATGGCCTGTGGGTGAGTTCTGTGGTGGGGCCTCAGCTGACTGGGCCACTCTCACCTGTTGAGCTCCTGGTGGGAGACAGTTCACTACACGGTGCCGAGGGCAGGGGCGTGGCCCCTCTCTCTCCACAGCTTCCCTGCCCGGTGGTGTCTTGCTAGGGAAAGCAACTCTGGGACAGGATTCTGTTTCCTGGTAATACATGCTGGCGAACAGGCAGGAAAAACACAGCTCTGCAGCCTGTTCTGAAATCCCAGTTCTCTGTTCTCTTATTGCCTTCAGACAGGGACCTTGCATTGCAGGGAAGGTTCCTGAGGCAGATATGACAATATTCTCCTGCAGTAATCAGTTAATCTTTTGGTAGCATTTGGGGGTCAGCAGCCTCTAGAACATGAAACACAGACCCCATCTCTAAATGGGGTCTGAAAGAAAAGGCTGGGGTGGTGGGAGGGGCCAGATTGTTACACCCTGCTCCTGGGAGAGAGGGGCTGTGTGCCCAGAAGTACTGTAGCCACAGACACGTGGTCATGCATTTCACCAAGGAAAAATCGTTAATCCTGTTCCTCATCCTAATTACCAAACTCTGCTGCGATAGAGATAAAGGTGGTTGAAGCCCTGGAGTGGGGGCTTTGATTAGCTGTTTCAGCTGCTGTCTGACCACCCCTGGGGAGAGCATTCTTCCCAAGTGGATGTTACAGGTTAGCTGACTGCCTAGGGTACATATGAAAAGCAACCAGTGCAAAGTAACCATTGCCCTTGCTGAAGCATTTTTAAGGTAAACCAAAGACAAAATGGTCATGTTCTAATATGCTTCTAATGATCTTCAGTAGGTGACAGGGAATGGTTGAAACCAAACAGTTGAATGTGCAGCAGTGAGGATATAAAATATGAGGGTACTTCAAAAGGATCATAGAAAAATAGAATTAAAAGATAATGAGTTTTTCTGTGAACTTTTTGAAGTCCCCTCGTAAAGTTAGGTTATCATACCATACACATCTTTTTTTAATCTGCCTTGGAGCACTTACTTTAGAAGGGCACTGTCTGACTCCAGCCATTATCCATCCCGTCCCTTCCCACATGCTCTTAGAATATTAGAAAACGATATGAGTGATTCTGTTGAAACAGTTGGTTTGCATGAAGTCGCTACCAGCATCGTTTGCGTTCAGAGGAAGTTCAAATCTGAAGGTCTCCCTCTAATAGCAGGCTTGCGTCTTTGTTCTTATGGACTTTCTAGAAAATAGTAATTAGTTGCCTGGGTTTTAGACGAGTTCCCATCACAGAGAGAGAAATGCACAGACGTGATTTAGACTGAATGTTTCATTGTGGTACCTGTTGATGCAAGTTAAAAAGCATTTGGAGTTTGGGTATTTACTCTGGTCAGTCGGATTGATAGAAGATTTGGAATAGTAAAGGTATATAAGTATGTTGGAAATTTTCCCTCTAGGAGAGTGTATGGTAATAATAATAGTAATAATTAAAATAATGGTCACGTTGTCCCTTGTGGCCAGTCCTTCCAGGGTGGAATTGCTTTGGTCTAAGACATAACACTACTAGCATTGTGGGTTATGTAGAGACAAACTGAATTTTAATAAACTAGGTTATAGTGCACATGGTCAGAATTCTAGGCCCTCACTTGATTCTGAAGTTCTAGGTAATCACAATAAAAGCTACTTCTTTAACCTGGATAAAATCATTCCCTTTGGCTAAAATGTCTGAAACGTCAGTGCTCTGAAGATTTTGGTAAGGCCAGTATATGTTATAGGTAAAAGGTGCAGCCCTCAAGGTTTCAGGTCTTCTCATTTTATTATACTTCTCTAGCTTTTTATATATTTGCTTCCTTTGACATAAATTATTCAGAGTTTGGGTGCTATTTAAATGAGGTTTTGAACTTAAGTAAAAGTCTCTACTATAAGGTAATATTCACTGGAGCCAAAGCTCTGTTTCTGTGTAAATGTCCATGGAGTGCAAGTCTACAAAGCCTTGCCCAAACCGTTGGGGCCATTCAGGTTTGCAGGATTCAGAAGTTTTGGATTTTAGGAAGGTAAAATGATTGGTGTTACAGACCACCACCTGTGAGATCGGGCAGCACCCTGTAATCACACACTAATATTTTTCAGCAAAGCCCGAGATACTCACACTCAGTAAGGTAAATAGTGATTAGGAGTAGCCTCATGTCAGTTCAAGTGTGGTTATCATCAAAAGAGTTTGCCAGACATTTATGAATAAAAGTTTTGTTCTCAGACCCTTTTGGGTTGCAGAATTATGGATAAGCTACTGTAGACCTGTAACCTGATAAACAAGAGGAGCACCTCTGACTTTCTCTAAATCTTAGCCATAATGTTTTAAAACTTGGAGTTCTTGACAGTATAAAGGAAATTAGAGGCAATGTCAGCTGGAGCTTGTTTTCCTCCTGTTAGAATCTTTCCATCTTTGTTAAAAACCAGCTATTACATTTTTGAAGTGGCTATGGGAAAGTAGCTTTAAAGGACTAAGTAATTGTTACATTAAACAGTCTATTTGATTTCTTAGAGTTAAGTACTTAGTATTAGACAAGGTATCTCAAGTTAGCATAGGGAAGCAAGCTGGTTAGTCTTATTTTAAAGCACATACAGGCTCCCACTTACATGTGCCTTTGGTTTTCCCATATTCTTTACTCAAGGCATTTAGGATGAAAAGATTGAAACGTACCTTTGTAAGATAATTCTCTTGTACTTTCTAATCCTTGTTGGAGCTCGTCTATTTAGTTTCTTCACTGTTGTTCCCCCTAATGTATAACAGTCGCCTCCCAGACTTCTAGGCCTCTGTAAGGCTCACAATTAAGTGACTGTATTCACATTTCAGAAAGACCGTATGTCAGATCAAGGGCAGTTTTGTGTAATGTGATGCACATGTATCACAGCAGAGTCTGACACAGGTATAACTTAATACAAGAAGAGATCAAATAATAAATGATTGATTATGTTGGTGTCACTTTCCGCCCCATGCTCTGCATCCCAGTGGATGCTGTCCCTAGTAACCTGCTAACACACCTTGGGAAGGAGTCTCCAGGCCAGTGAAGCAAAGACCAGCAGTGCCAGTCCAGAGTTTCGTGTGTCTTCAGGGTGTTCTCTTGCTGTCTGGGAGTATTGATTACTGCAATAAAGTGATTAATTGATAGGATTGACTGAGATTAGCTTTTTAAATTAGTAATTTACAACTGAATTTTGACAGCACATTTTCTGAGTGGCTTTGTTCTTTAATTTCTGATTCCCTTAATTTGTATCATTCAGTTAGTGTAGGGTGATAGACTGCTTTAAAGTTTAAAACAAACCAAAAACAAAAAAACCAAAAAATCAAAAACTTTCAGTGGAGAAAATGAGGAAACAATTAAATGAAATAAAATTACTGAAATAACTCGATACATTTTTTATTTTAAACTTGATCTGTTACTTAAAAGTACACATTTGTAAAGAAACTATGTAACCCAAAGTTTCTCATTTGAAACATTTTGAACTGATTACGTACTCATTCTTTTGTTATTAAAAAAAAATCAATATTTTTTTCCCCTTTTTTTTGTCTTTTTTCGTGTCCGGCAATGGATCGCAACCCTCAGTGTCGCGCCTGTACCGGA